GGAAATGCTGAGATTAGTGAGATCACAGGTAATGCTGTACACGTTGGAACCATGTGGACTTGTGATGTACTGATGCATCTAAGACATACCTCATGGAAGAAGTAAACCTGGAGCTGGAATGTAGGTCAGTGGGAATCCACTTGCTTAGCATGTGTGAAGTCCTGGGTTCAATCTCCAGTACCACTAAAACGAAACAAAACACAAGAGAAAATAAACAAAATCGCTGGACCAGCAAGATGGCTCAGCAGGCAAAAACACTTGCCATACAAACCTGCCCACCTGAGTTTGATCCCTGGACCCCACAGTGGAAAGAGCAGACTCCTGGACACTGTCCTCTGCCTCCATGTCTGCACCAAGGCACATCCACATCCACAGCCATAAGCATACCCACAGACTAATAATAAATTATTCATATATGTATAATATATATACACAAAGATATACCTCTGGGGCTGGGCTCTGTATAGAGGGCTAACCTAGTGTGTCACTGGTTCAATCCTCAGTCCTGGGGTGGGAGATTAAGCCTTTCCTTTAATACATACCTGTGATCTCAGCCAAGGCAGGGAGATGGTAAATTCAAGGCCAATCTGCTTTAGACAGTAAAATCCTACTGTTGTTTGTCATTTTTTATTTTTTTCAATTTTTATTATTTTTCAATTTCTCATTATTTTATGTGTAGGGGTGTTTTTTTGCCTGCATGTATATCTGTGTACCACATACATGTCTGGTGTCTGTGGAAGCCAGAAAAGGCCTGGACTTACAGATGGTTGTGAGCCACCACGTGGGTGCTAGGAATCTATCTTGGATCTTTTAGCAAAGTGACCATTGCTCTTAATGGCTGAGCCTCCTCTCCAGCCGCCACCCCTCCCCCTTTATAGATACATATCAGGAAGGGGAGGGGGAAGGAGGAGGCTTTTGACAGGAAACAGCTTGGACACCAAGACAGATTATTTGGGTGAATCTATTGTTTGGACTTTGATAGTTTCAACTTTTCCCCCAAAAGAAACATCATTAGATTTCACAGCAGATAATCAAAAGCAACATTAATGGGTTTCCATCTTGTGTTCAATAAATACTCCCTGAAATTGGTCTTGGTAAGTCTCTGTGGACTCACTGCAGACCGAAGATAAAGAGAGACAAGTGTGTGCGCCCCTCACAGCGGTAGCTTCCTCCTGTGAGAGTGACATGTGACATGTGACTTGCAAGAGAACAATGGAGAAAGCATGTTAAAACCATCCTTTGTAGTTCCACTGATTAAAGACAACCACAGTTCAGTTTCCACACACCTCCTTCTGGTGGTTTTTTTTTTTTTTTTTGGTTTTTCGAGACAGGGTTTCTCTGTGTAGCTTTGGGGCCTTTCCTGGAACTCACTTGGTAGCCCAGGCTGGCCTCGAACTCACAGAGATCCACCTGCCTCTGCCTCCCAAGTGCTGGGATTAAAGGTGTGCGCCACCACCGCCCGGCTCCTTCTGGTTTTTATATTAAAATTAAATGATCTTTTTCTTAGATACAATTTTTAGCTTTTGTCCTAAACAGCTTTTAAATAACATTAAAATTAAATCACACACACACACACACACACACACACACACACACACACACACACATTTTCCTCTTATATTTTGGGACTTTCCTGAGACTTGGAAACTTTTCTCACAAACTTACTTTTGGGAGCTGGAGAGATGGCTCAGTGGTTTAAAAGTGTTTGTTGCTCCTTCAGAGACGCCAAGTTTTGGTCCCATCAAGTCAGATCTAAGTCCAGCTTCAGAGAATCTGAGGCCCACTTCTGGCCTCCTTGGGCACTAACACGTGCACACATCACACACACACACACACACACACACACACACACACACACTTTGCAAATTTCATTTAGATGTCTTCGTCCCTTCTTATTTGTCTTTAGGATGGCCCCATCGTCTAGTTCTCCCACTGTGAGCAAAGTCCTGTATCACTCCTGTATCTTCTGCTTAACCTGGCTGGTGGACTATTCTCTTAATATCCATTCATAAAAAGAATGTTTCTGAGTGGTGTATATTTCATAAATACACATTCTCAATTTGCTTTAAAACAGGCTTTGAACTATTTAAGGTTATAGTACAATTCTTTTTAACACTATTTCGGAAAAATGTTGAACTTTAAAAGACACATATGCTTAGAAGTAGCTGTGAGAAAGGCTCCGAACCCCAAAAATGTGCTACATAAGTCAGGAAAGTGATCATCTTATTTCTACTTCAACCTAACTGCCTAAAGAACAGATGAGACCCTTTAAAGTCACAATGACTTTGAAGTCCTTCTATTTCAAATTACACGTGTTCACTGGGATACTGAATGAAAGATCCAGTGGGCTATTCTGTTCTGGCAGGGAAACATTTCATAATGCAATAAATTGCCCAAGGCAGGACATCACAGTTGGGGGGGGCGGGGAGCTGTGGTGTGTTTGCACTGGAGTCTCCAGGAACTTTGTAGAGCATGAGGAAGTCCTGTTGAATTTGGTATCTGGGTTTCCAGAGGAGCCCCAGAGCTTCTGGAGCTTTAACGTAAACTTCAGAATCCATTATTCCAGGGAATGGCTAGGACACACTTAAAGGGCGATGTTTTAAATTCTCTTAGGGTTTGACACTAATGATACCACTGAGATAGAAATCTGTCCCTTAGATATTTGAGTGTGTTTAGTGAGGAATGAGACCCTGATAAAGCAGTCTATGTAGCATGTGCCTGTATCTCATTCTCTAGGGAACACTTGGACAAGGAGTGCTCGGAGGCCAGTGTAACGGGGTGGATGCCATTGCAGCCATGAAGAGATCAGGAATTATATCACTGCTTGTGATTGCTTGTCTCTCAGAGACCTAGGAAACAAAGACATCTCACAGCTATCTCTCAGGCCTCTTTGATAACAGATAATTTTAGCAAGCTCATGTGTGAATTTTGTGTTTGTCTATAATTATTTTGTATAAATGATACAAGGAAGACTTTTCACAAGTCACTTTACATGCTATTTCTTTTCTGTTCTTTCAGTTTTAAAATCCTAAGTGGTGGCATAAAGCCATTTAACTACAACACGCAGATCACAGAATTAATAATACATTTTAACTCAGCCTCCACATGCCTAATTAAATGAAAATTATAGAAACTTCAGGGGAGAGCTAAGCCACATGACATCAATTAATGACCTGTGGGAGTAAATCAAATCAGACATAAAGAAGAATTACTGATTACAAGACTTTCTGAGAGCTAGTTCTGGCTACAAGAGTTCTGGAATGTTCTCTCTTCTAATTATCAACTTAGAATGGATAGGGATTTCTGGCCCATAATAAGGCAAGTTGAACTCAGTTGATCTTAAACTCCACCAGTCCTTGTAACTGTTTGTATCCAATACCATCTACAATTAGTCAATAACTGAGATGCTTAGGCACAATTCTTCTCCACTTGGGTTTCTTGTGTGTGTGTATGGTGTGTGTGTGTGGTGTATGTGTGGTGTGTGCATGGTGTGTGTGTGTGTGTGTGTGTGTGTGTGTGTGTGTGTGTGATGTGTGTGGTGTGTGTGCTATATTTGAGTGTGTACACTCGTGTTCACGCAGGTGCGTTTGCACACATGTGCGTATCCAGAGGCTAGAGGTAGACATTGGATGTCTTCCTTGATCACTTTCCACATTGTTTTTTGAGACAAAATCTCTCACTGAGC